GTGTGGGCCAGAGTTTTCATGTCTGGGCAGATATGGGTGGGGTGCCCAGACCTTGTTTTGTCTTTTAACTTTGTCTGACTTTTAAAAGTTTACCAAGAACAGAAAAACAAGCCAAACCTGACCCTGGAAAGTGTCTGTGCCCCTTTACTCTCTTCCCAGGTTTCTGCCTCTAAGCTGGGTAAGATTATTCTCAGCGCAGGACGTTTGGCACAAAGGGGTCTTCCTTGAGGGTGGAGCACTTAGCAACACGTTTCCTTGGAGAAACATTAATCTGTCCCAGCTGAAACCAGCCCTGGCTGCTCTCCTGTGACACTTGGTGGGAGCCATGCCACAGAGCAGTAGTTGGTGGGGAATGAAGGTGGTAGGCTCCCGGTGGCCAGTCAGATCCACCGCAGCTGCTGTACTGGTGCCCTGCACCTGGGTAGGGAGAAGTGGCGTGAGCAAGAGGGTATGGACGCTTTGCAGACCCAAGGTCAGCACGGGTAAGGGAGGAACCAGGGTTATACAAGTCCAGCCTAAGCATCAGAGGCCCCTGTGTAGGCTATGCCCTGAGAGCTGCACCACTAAAGTTTCGTTTTGTTTTAAATTCAAGAAAGGGTCTGGGGTGTAGAGTGCTTGCCTAGTATGTACAAGGCTCTGGGTTTAGGCCCAGTACTATGGTGGGTTGAAGTGTGGGCAGGAAACTTAGAGGAACAATAGAAAAGAGAAGAAGGAACCCAGAGATGATGTCCAGTTGCTAGCCTCCTGAAATACTGTCCCAGGAGCTACTGCCAGTGCCCCATTGAGTAATACTTTGGAGTCCAACTGCAAGCTTGCAGGGACATCATATGCTGAGCAGACTGGCTAATCTTTTCCAATCTGTTTCTCTCCCTCTTCCCCCTCCCCATCTCTCTGTAGTCCTGAAACTTGTTTCCTAGACCAGGCTAGCCTCAAACTCAGAGATCCACCTGACTCTCGAGCACTAGGATTAAAGAAGTATATACCGCCACTGCCTGGTTCCCAACCTGTTACTGACGGCAGACTTGAGAGACAGTGGGCCATTTCGCCTGTGAAATCCACTGAAGCAATTAAGAAAATGACAGCGTGCTAAATGGGGTCTGTCTTACTTAGGGTTTCTATTGCACCTTGTTTTTGTTTGTTTGTTTGTTTGTTTGTTTCCAGGCAGGGTTTCTCTGTATAACAGCCTGGCCTCGAATTCACAGAAACCTGCCTGTCTCCCAAAGTGCAGGGATTAAAGGCTCTAGCCACCACTGCCCAGCCCATGGCAACTCCTATGAAGGAAAACATTTAGTGTGGGCTGGCTTCCAGTTCAGAGGTTCAGTCCATTATCATCCTGGTGGGAAGCATGGGGGCATGCAGGACACACGGAAGAGGTGGCTGAGAGTTCCAAAGGCAGCGGGAAGAGAGGGTGACACTGGACCTGGCTTGAGCATCTGAAATCCTGACTCCTGTAAGGCCACACCTAATAGTTCCTATGGGGGCCATTTCATTCAGACCACCATAGGGACTACATAAATAAGTGATATGTGCTTACATTTAGCAAAATGTGATTTTAACACAAGTACACCGGACTGTGTGCTGTTCACAACATGGGTTTTGGGAGGTCTTTGTTGTTTGTAAATTGCTTCGAGCTCTTCCTACTCTTCCAGAGCACCCTTCCCAGGCAGCTCACAACCCGTAACTCCAGCTCTAGGAGATCCAAAGCCCTCTTCTGGGCACATGTACAAACCCCCATACACATAATATATAATGTAAAAATAAATGGACATTTGTATAAATATGTGTAGTCATACTCAGGTGATCCGGCTTGGAGGCAACTGCCTTTACTTGCTGAGTCTTGCTGTTCCCCGAAGATGTAATTTTAAAACATCCTTTTGTTGAGACAGGGTCTCTGTAGTCTAGGCTGGCCTTGAACTGGTGGCAGTCCTCCTGCCTCAGCCTCCAGAGTTTGGGATTACAGGCACGAGTCACCATTTCTGGCTTTGAAACAATCCGAGGTTGCCACACTTGCGCCTGGTGGGAACAGGTTTAAAGCTGGGTGATAATTCCCTCAAAACAGCTGGAGCGCCTCCAGCTTGCAGGTCTAAGAGAAGGCTTTTTTTTTTTTTTTAAAGTGTTCTGCTTGCACGTATGCCTGCAGGCCAGAAGAGGGCACCAGGTGTCAGTACAGATCCTTAGGAGCTATCATGTGGGTGCTGGGAATTGCACTCAGGACCTCTGGAAGAGCAGCCAGTGCTCTTAACCTCTGAGCCACCTGTCCAGAGCCTAGAAAATGCATTTTGACAGCACAAATGGAGTACATTGTGCTTGTGTGGACAGCTATGTAATGTGTGCATGTGTGTGCGCACACACACACCTTTCAAAGCCCTGCAGGTGAAATGACCAAGGATGTTGCCTGCTGTTTACTATAACCCCACAAGCTGACCTTAGTGGCTCAGGGTTCACATGCTAGATTAAGTCGGAAAGAGTTGCTCCTCATGGCAGGTGAAGCCTTAACGTTAGACAGATGGTCCCCAGTGTGCCTCCCACACAGCTCATCCTCTCCCCATGTGGCTTACCCATGGCCTGCAGTCTTCCGATGGCTTGCTGCCTCCATCTGCATCGCTAGCTTTCTGTCAGGTTCCTCTCTGTCCCCACGGGCGCTCAGGATCCAGGATGTGCCTCTGTCACTAAGCTACCAGTCTTCTCCTTTCTCCTTGATCCCCACATGGACCACCATCCCTATTGCTATTCCTCCTCTGGCCTGGCCAAGGCCCCTGCTGGTTATCTTCCCTCCCTGCCTACTCTGACTTTTAAGTGCCCAGCGATGCCCACTGCAAACCCCAGGGTACAGCATGGGCCGTGCCGTGCACTCCCAGGACCTATTGTGGCTCTGAGACACCATGGGCTTGCACAGTTCCGGGTACGCCCGGGCCCACTAAGGCTCTCCAGTGGTTTGCATGCCTGGGACAACCTCCCCAGCAAACCTAAGGCAGGGCCCTGGCAGTCAGGCCTACTGTGGGAAACAGGTCTTAGACTACCACATATTTAGGTATGCCATCATTTCTTAGGTTGGCTGTAATGGAGTCAGGCCAAGGTGGGGAGTTAGGAAATCAAAGGAGTTTTTGTTTGTTAGTTTCTAAAAGAACTCCCCCCACCCTGCATTTTTCTACCCACCCAGTGTTCTTGGAAGCAAGACTCTTTGTTAGGTTATGCAATTGCTAGGCCACGCTGGGGTTCCAGCTGTGAGTATGAACCCTCTGCCACTTAAGAAAGTGAGGGGCGGTTCTCTTTCTATCGGTTAAGGGGATCTGCACGTGCCCTGCTTCCAGCTGGGGTCCTCCCCCTTGACACCTCCGCAGGTCACTGGTTGACCGTCTAGGTTCCTTCTCCTGGGCCTAGACAATATGCCTCTCCCCAGCCAGATGTCAAGGCTGGTGCTGAGGACATGTTTGGTTTTTTTTTGGGGGGGGGACGCTATCTTCTTTTCTTTGCTTTCCTTTTTTGAGACAGGGACTTGCGACTTTTAGCTCCTGAACGTTCTGTCTCAGACACTCACACGCTGTGATTACAGGTGTGCACAATACCGCTTATCCCATGCTAATGGCCAAACCCAGGGCTTTCTGCAGGCTACCTCTAGCCCTGCATTTTGTTTTTCAAAAAGGTCCAACACAGAGAAAATTTCAGCTACTCTACAAAGGACTTTACCCCCAGAAGCCATTTTTGAGTGACTGGTCTACCTGGGCTGCCTTGCTGCCTAAAGCTGGAAACATTTTTCCTTCATTGTTGGAACAGTCTGCCTGCCATGGGTGCCTTACATCCCATCATTTGTCAACCTGCCCTTCAGTTCCCAAGGGTCCAGTCCACAATTGCTGTCGGCACTGAATTGTGTGTTCATCTCCTCCAGGCTAGCTGGACACCCCACTGATGGGTTCCCAGCATTCTTTAAGTGTCCCTGCTTTCTGGCAGTGTGACACATTTGGACTCATTTCCTGCTCCTTGAGTAGAGTGCTGTATTCTGTACTTACATGCCAAGATGACTCAAGGCTTTGGAGGATTTGCAGCGCCAAGGCCCTTCCAGGGACAGCTGGGAGGCAGATGTAGCTGCTTGCTTATGTCAAGTACACATACAGATTTCTCTGAATGTGCTCATGTTCCCAGGGGCTCACTGGTAACTCTGCCTTTAACCGTACTCTGCAGAGTTCTTTCTGGCTTCCTCTTTCTACGTGTTCATACATCCCTTCTCTGAAATGAAACCTAGTTCCCACTGTCTTCAGTAGGGTCTGCATATGCCATCTGTGTCCCCGTGGTCTCTGCCACCACACTCCTGCTTGCACAGTTCTTCCCTGTGCTTGGACACCTGCACTATACCAGGGGCTGGCGCCCCTCCATCCTGCAGAGCTTTGATGCCCCTTGGCACTTCCAGGGCACGGTACCCAGCTCCCTCTCTGACACGGCTGCTCTAAGGCCTTCTGGTTCCCTTTTCTGCTCTGGTCCCCTCTTTTGCTCTGTGTCTCTTATGGCTTCAGGACTGATTTTTGAGGGAGGAAAGGAAGGTCTATCTTGCATTTTTTTTTTAAATGAAAAGAAGTAGCAAAATCACAAAATAATCACACGCATTCTAGACCATTAAGGCTGCTAGCCTGGTCACTGTCCCTTAGTGACTGAGTAGCTTAATGAATGCGCTTTACCCCACTGAGCCTCAGTTTCCTCAACAGAATGGGAAAGGACAATTCTGTGTGTGCAGAGACTCGCTGAGCCGATTCCAGGACTGACCTGGCCCCTGCCTGAAATAATCACTGGATGGATTGAGCAATGACAGCTATTGGCTAGCCAGACTGCTGGGTGGTTGGGTGGTTGTCCACAGCAGTGTAGCTATGGCTCCAAAGCCCTTCTCTCCTTTGGCAGGCTTTCTTCACTTTTTTTTTTTTTCCTGTTTTGCATGTCCTCAGCCAAGTTTTCTGAGTGTTTCCAAGACAGAGGTCCTTGTGTCCACAGCCTTAAGACGTGCTGTACAGGCTGCAGTGACCACTGCTTTCAGACATTCAGGCATTGCGGCCAGAAGCAGCAGAATGGGACTTTGGGGCACCTGCCTGCTCTTCTGCCTCTTCTCCATCTTGTCCCAGGTCACGACAGAGCCACCCACCCCCAAGGCCAAGAAAGCTACAAATGTCAAGAAAGGTAAGCAGGCGGCAGCTGCCCCTCCCAACCCTCTAGGGACAGCCTTCCCTTCATGTTCAGGGGGAGCAGTCACCCCTTCCCCAACTCTAGAGGCAGCTGCCCTCCTTATGTTACCTCGTGTTTCTCCCCTTCATAGCCAGTTTTGATGAGTCTTCCTTTGGTGAGAGAGCCTCTGGTGGCTGAGGAGCTCTCACAGCGGGGTTGGTTGTCAGAACTGCAGAGTCCCTGACTCTTAGAATGGAGAAAAACCTTATAGATTTTTCTAAACTGCCATCTACTCTCTCTCTCTCTGGTATCCAATATGTTAAAGAAATCAAACCTCCAGCTTGGAGATGGTCAGTTCCCACCAGGGAGCAGCAGCCTGGGTTTCCTCAAGTGTGAGCCTAAGAGGGGTGTGTAGTGAGCTATCTACCCCGCCCTCACCTGTTGTGAGGCGTGGTGATAGGTGCTGACGTGACCTGTGGGGTCTAGGTCTGGGGTCACAGACCCCAGCTCGCTCTCTTCCTTCCTGGTCAGAGACAGAGAGCATCCAGGGGCATCCTTGGAGCAGGAACCTGCGGTGGTCATCTGTTTCTGGTGTAAGTGATTTCTCCCTGAATAAACATCAATCAACCTATATTGTGTCCCAGAATCTTATTTCCCTCGTAATAGGGGTAGAATTTGCTAAAAAAAAAAAAAAAAAAAAAAAAAAAAAAAGCCTTACAGTTAGCAGTTAATAATGTAAAATCTATAAAGCCCCCTGGACAAACTTTTTCTTGGCACACAGAGGGGAAATGGGGGGACAAGTGGACTCTTAACTTCCATGGGGCTTCAGCCTTATGACCTCAGACTGAGCTGAGAGCATCACTGCTCTCCTCTGAGATGCTGAGGGTGAGGTCATCCTGGGTGGGTGGAGACGTGAGATTGACAGCCCCACAGGACAGGGTGGAGATGGATACTCAGAGAAGCAGCAGTAGAACCCAGCCAAAGAAAAGGGTGTGGAGAATCTACAGGCTCTGTATACCTGGGTAGCGAGATACAAAAGTCAGCGCTTAGGAGCACGAGGCTACAGCAAAGAACAGGCAGAACTCAGTTGCCCAGTGTCTGCAAGGAACCAGGCTGATCTCCAGCATCACACGGAGCCCAGAGTGGTGGCACGCGCTAACCCCAGTACTCTGACGCCGAGGCAGGAGAGTTATAAATTCAAGGTTATCTCCAATTATATAGCACATTTGAGGCCAACCAAAGCTACAGGATCCCTGTTTCGAAAAACAAAACTCAGGGAGTTAGAGCTTCTTCCTGTGTGCTCTGTTGTGAGTGTGTGTCTACAATGTTGTGAGATCCTTTTCCATCCCCAGCACTTCAAACAGCAAACAACAAAACAGAGCTGGGTATGGTGGTGCATGCCTCTAATCTCAGGTAGAGGCATAGTGCTACATAGGTGTTCTGAGCCCTACAAGGATACACAGGTGGACCCTGTCTCAAAAAACAGCAAACCAAACACCACAGACCAAACTGACATTGTGAACAAAATTCAAAACAGAGTGGCTACTATACTGACATCACTTTGACAAAGGGATTTACCATGAGGCATATGTATATGGGGATAAATCTCACTAACCTGGGCAATTAACACGTGCCAATAATTATTTCCAAAATTTGAATATGCTGACTAAAAGTAAGTATCTGTTGAGTATGTATAGAACTATTCCGGAAAGATCTACAAACGAACGTAACAGAGACTACTTCTGGAAAGAAAAGCAGGGGGCAGTCTGAACTGGGAAGGAGAATTTTTGGATGGCTTTGATTTATTCAATCAGACAAATATATAATGACAATCTACAAAATGCTCACTTTAAAATAGGGGGGCCCAATACCCTGCATGGCTCTGTCCACAGGCAATGCCACCAAGGCGTGCTGTGTGAAGGATTTAGATCCAAAGGCAAATAGGATTTCCGAGTATGGAAAACAATTGCCTTCTGGCAATGGAGTTTCCCCTCAGTCTTGTAAACCACATCAGTTGTGGGGGAGGAGGGGATCAGGGCAGGGCTGCTTTCCATCTTCAGTAAAGGGCCACACACAAGCTCTGTTCCTAGATGTCTCCTCTGGGAGCTTGAGCCAATGCCCTGCTTCACTTTCTCACTGACAGGGCCTACATGGTGCTCAATACGATTGTGCACAGCTTCTTTGAACCCAGACGTGGAGGAGGAGCGCAGGGTGACTGACCCTGGTTGCTGACTCCCAACCCTACCCGTTTTGCCTTGGTCCCTATGGGTGTCATTTTCCCACACGTGATAAGTTATATCACTGAGTTTCGCACATCAATGTCTTTTTTTGTTTGTTAATTTGCTTGTTTTTGACACAGCGTTTCTCTGGCTAGCCCTGGAACTCACTCTGTAGACCAGGCTGGCCTCAAGAGCTGCCACCACCACCTAAACGTCCATGTCTTGGCCACAATTCCTTGGCAAAACTTCCAGTGGGTGGACAAAGGCTCTGGCCTCATGAATGTGGACTTTTCATGAAATGGCTCATGGAGGAGCTCCCTACCCTTTGCCTCAAGCCAAGCAGAGCTTTCCAAGGAACCCCGGAAACTTCAGGAAGACAGGGGTCCACCCACAGCTGTCAGCTAACACACACACACACACACACACACACACACACACACACACACACACACACACACAGGCAGTCCCTATCAGAGATGTCACGTACTTTGGCGCAGATGGGTAGAGTGTGTCTGCTGGGATCAGAGCTTTGGGCTAGGGGCTCTGTCACACTCAGCAGGTCATTTAAACCTGGCCTAAGTTTCCTTGTTTGTGAAATGGTGACTACCCAGGATGGTACTTGCCCACGGCGTAGGGCTGGCTACGGGCAGGGCTAAGGTGGTACACAGTTAGCCCCAGGCCTGCAGCGATGGCTCTCTGGGAAGTGGCTCCTCTGCTCTCGGGAGCACATGCCCTGTGAGATGTCATTTCTCCTGGGCTTCTTCAGTCATTTTTTCAGAGTGGTGGTGTCCTCTCGCATGAGGAGACGGAGCTGTGTTGGCGAACGTGTGTCCCTGCCACTCTCCACTCAGATTGGGGCTTACTGTGTTTGCCTGCTCCCTATCCTGGAGGAACTGACGTCTGTGATTTTATGACCCATAAATAGAGCTGATGAGATGGCTGTTTGCCCCAACTCCTGCTAAATCCAAACACAGGGTAGGGAAGCACGGGGAGGAAGCAGGGACAGGCAAAAGGGGCTCACTGGAGGGTTGGATTCTTAGGCAGAGGGGCAGACATGATTTCCCCTTGACCCTTTGGGGCTGGCAGACAGGGAAAGGAGCATCTGCCTGCCTCGAGTTTTCTTTGCCTCATACCTCTCTGTCCTAGATGTGGTGAGCCCAAAGATGTTTGAGGAGCTCAAGAGCAGGCTGGACAGCCTGGCCCAGGAGGTGGCCCTGCTGAAGGAGCAGCAGGCCTTACAGACCGGTGAGTGTGGAGGAACACACCCAAGAAGGGGCCAGGCTGGTAATGGGCACCAGCGAGGAAGAAGGCCCCGTCTTCCCGCCAGCACCAAGCTCACGAGGCCCCGGCTTCACATGCTTCTTCAGGGAAGGTCTCCTGACTCACACCTGTAAGACCCAGCCAGCCAGGCACAGTTGTGTGTAGTAACCTTGCCTCTCAGTTCTATGGTGTGCAGTGAGCATACATCTCAGTTTCAAGTAGGCAGATGACTGGCGCCCTGAGCTAGTGGCTTGATCCTACGGAGGGGCCTGGTGATCCTAGGTGATCTGGCTAGTTGGGGAAGCTGCCTTTGAGATGCAGTGGACTGAGGTTTCATGCCTGGGGAGGTTGAGGAAGGAAGCAAAACCCAAGAGGGGCTAAGCTTAGAATAAGCCTGGCGCCCACCTCTGTGGCCCAGGATATTATCCTGCCCCGGGCAGAGACCAGATGACTTTTGTACTCCCATCAACGTAGGAAGTAAGTGACCCTGTCTAAGGAGCCCTTTGCAAAAGCAGAGGGGTGGCCATTGCCGGAGCAGGGCATCTTGAGCTGTAATCTGAGTCCTTCAGCATCTGCCACAGCAGGGTCCTGAAGCGGGAAGCAAGCAGGTTTCAAGCGAGGGGTGGGGTAGGATGGAGGCTGGGGGGCAGTCTGGAAGAGGTCTATTTGTCCTGGGTCGTCCGAAACTTATTTGACAGCCACCTCTCCTTTGCAGTATGCCTGAAGGGCACCAAAGTAAACTTGAAGTGCTTCCTGGCCTTCACCCAGCCCAAGACCTTCCACGAGGCAAGTGAGGACTGCATCTCGCGTGGGGGCACGCTGGGCACGCCGCAGTCGGGGCTAGAGAACGAGGCACTGTTCGAGTACGCGCGCCAGAGCGTGGGTAGCGAGGTGGAGATCTGGATGGGCCTCAACGACATGGCAGCGGAAGGCGCCTGGGTGGACATGACCGGCGGCCGCCTGGCCTACAAGAATTGGGAGACCGAGATCACGGCGCAGCCCGACGGCGGCAAAGCCGAGAACTGCGCCGCCCTGGCCGTAGCGGCCAACGGCAAGTGGTTCGACAAGCGATGCCGCGACCAGTTGCCCTATATCTGCCAGTTTGCCATCGTGTAGCCTGGCTCCGGGCCGGGGAGGGGTGAGGACCACAAAGAGGCTGTTGGTGGGTGGGGCTTATGGGTTGCTAAGGGGCCCGGGGCATCAGTGGGCGGAGTCGAACTTCAGTGATAGAAAAGCTGATGCAGGGCCCTGGGAGGGGCGGGGAGACTTCTCTGTCCCGGGTTCCTCCGTGTCTGGATTTTGCTAATAAAGTTGGTTCAGAATCCCTGAATTTGGCTGGTCGCCAGGTCTGGGTGGGGAGAAGATCCCAGGAGCCTGGCCCCAAACCCAGGAGAGCCTTAGTCACATTTCCGGCCTGCTTTTTGTAGAGGACACTTCCTTCTGTTAGAATACAACACACACTCCACTGCTGGCGGATGTATTTGGGGGCGCTATCCTTTCCCTTATTGGGGACCCAGCTGGGGATGCCCGGACAAACAGAGGCCCTGCCGTGGGGTAAAGAGTGGGTTGCCAAGGCTTCTCAGGGAAATTCCTGTCTACCTCTATCCTCTTCCCAGGAGGCCGGTCCAAGAGCCAAATATGAGTTTGTCCCTCCCTCTCCTTACAGTCAGTGAGCCAGCCAGGGTTTCCACGTGGTTCCGTGTCAGTGTGGAGCATCACTGAGCCCACAGTATTGTAGGAACTTGAGATACATAGTCTGGTTTAGTCTTATCCTCCCGGGACAATATGTGTCACGATGTCTTACAAAAAGGAAGTCCCAGCATAGGGACACTGGGTGGCTCCAGCCGATGAAAACCTAGTGTTCTCAAAGCCAGGGCTCAATCCTTGGCTGATACCACCACCATTGCTTACTGGTCTCACATGACTAGAACTCTCCAAAACAAACAAACAAACAAACAAACAAATAAATAAAAATCATAAGTAGCCTAGTGCCTTCCTTTCCCCAAGTGGCTAAGTGTGATCTGGTCTCCACCACCCCTGTGGACCCAGCCCTGGTATTTTCTCCTAATTCCTCAGCATGGCTATTACTAAAGGAACGTTCCCAGTGCCTTCTGCTTCTGGATAGGCCCTCAGTTCCTCGACATCAGCCCCACACTGATTACAGTGCAATTTGATTGACTGGGATGGGAGGCAGCTTGTAGTGAGTTGTGTACTCGGCCTCGAGGCTTCCCAACGTTGGCACAGCACAGCACTGCATGGAATACAAAGTCAAGGGGGGGTGGCCTGTCTGTGCTCAGGACGGCCAGCCAGCAGGGCAGCTGACACCAAGAGCTCTGGCTCCAACAGTCCTGGTCAGATTTCCTTAATAGTATGTTATTCCCCAGAAGATGTGGGTCTGTGTAGAAAGGCAACCTGGGCGGGCAGTACACTTTGCCTGCTTCCATCAGAAGATGGCAGTGCGGGAAAGAGAATGATTCCCTGTTCTTCCTCAGCCTGGAATGGTCTTGGGTTTAAAGCACCTACACTCTGGTTGCGAACTCAGTCCCCCCCCCCCCCCCCCCCCCGGTCCTCCCAGCTCTGTCTTAGAAAAGATCTCATTGTGCTGTCCAGGGACACTTTGAAAGACTCACTAAGATCCATTTTACTAATTTAGTACTTTTTCTTTTGGTTTTTCAAGACAAGGTTTCTCTGTGAAGCCTTGGCAGCGGATCTTGTGAGTTCAAAGCCAGCCTGCTGTACAGAGTGAGTTCCAGGACAGCCAAGGCCACAGAGAAACCCTGTCTGGAAAAAACAAAACCAAACACAATTTCACTCAGGGTTTTCAGGGTTGTTTCTGAGGCCTGATGTCTGGTTCTGCCCCACCTATTTTCATGAGCCAGTGACTTAAGAAAGAACATGGTTTATCAGTTAAGTTGGAAATACTGGGCATACAGCTAAGATAATCTTAAAATGAAATTGCCACGGGGGGGGGGGGGAGAGAAGGGGGAGTTAAACTAAGGTCTCACAGCTTGATACGACGAACTCTGAGAGCTTTTGTTTCCTGTGGAAAGCAGCTACAAAGTGCAAAGTACTTTTCCAAACAGATCAATAACAAGGGAAATTTGGGTTTGCTCTAAACGCTAGAGTTTTCTTCTTTCTTTCTTTTTAAAATTAAATTAAGTTTTATTTTATTTTGGGGTCTTTTGAGACAGGGTTTCTCTGTTTAGCCCTGACTGTCCTGTATCTCGCTCTGTCAACCAGGCTGGCTTCATACTCACAGAGATCAGCCTGCCTCTGTCTCCTGAGTGCCGGGTTAAAGGTGTGTGTTACCACTGGACAGTTGAGTTTCTTTTCTGTTTATTTTTTTTAAAGATTTATTTATTTATTATGTATACAGTGCTCCGTGTATGCCTGCACACCAGAAGATGGCATCAGATCTCATTCTTAACTGGGTAGACAATGAACTAGATTTTCAATCACTCCACAGTGGTTGCCCTGGACTAGGAAGGAATCCTTGACTTAGAGTCCAGCTCTGCAACTTTCTCCCCAAATAGCCCTGTGGCCTTGGGGAGACACAGCCACAGAACTGTGGTTTGTTTCTTCTGCAGTAAAACACTGGGCTGCTAGGGCCAAGCTCAAAGGCAGGGCCAACCAAAGTAAAGAAAGGCTGGCCTCTGGCCTCTGTGCAGAGGGCACTTTGGGGGTGTGGCGTGCATCCACAGAATGAGATGCACCTGAGTGCAGGACACAGCAACCACGGAACATACCAGACGGAGGAAATATTCCCAACACCTGTCTCCACCCATCCTTGTGTGCTTCCCACAGGTGACTACCGCCTGACCTCACAGGAGATCCAGGTGATGGGAGATGCCATTCTGTAAATGTTTCTCTTATTGGTTAGTGAATAAAGCACTGTTGGCCGATAGGAAAGCAAGATAGGTGGGACTAGGAGGAGAGAGGAAGTAGTAGGGAGGAGATTCATCATGGAGGACGGAGAGAGCAGAACGCCAGCCCCTCTGTCCGGTAAGAGGAGACTACGCGGAAGTACTTAGATTAATAGAAATTGGTTAATATTTAAGACAGAGCTAGCCGATAAGAAACTAGTAACTGGCCAACAGCTTTATATCTAATACAGAGTCTCTGTGTATTATTTGGGGCTGGCACAGAGGTGGAACCAGGCTGATGGGGGAAAAACCTACTCCTAACATCCAGGCAATGCTGTCTCATGGCCTGGGCAGTCTTCTGCATGTAAGGTACCATCTGAGAACAAAGTGGCCAGAGTTGGAATCCAGGTTTTCCATGTAATGCTATGACATTCACAGTGCTCCACAGTTGAGAGCTGATGATGTTCATGTGGACTAGGCCACAGAACACAAGAGTCAGAGGTGTCAGGGGTGGGGTGGGGGAGACAGGGAAGGAAGGAAGGAAGCAAGCAAGCCTTTCCCCTCACCCCTGGTCCCCCAAGTGTTTTGCAGTTTAAGCATCAACCATACTTCCCCTCCAACCCCCATCCCCGAGATAGGGTTTCTTTGTGCAACAGCTCTAGCTATCCTGAAACTCGTTTTGCAGATCAGGATGGCCTCCAATTCACAGAGATCCTCCTGCTTCTGCCTCCTGAGTGCTGTTGGAATTAAAGGTGTGAGCTACCACTGCCTGGGCAACCATACTTTTTAAATGTCTCCCAGGTCATACTTTCTAGGTAGAACAATTTGGGGGTGTGTGTGTTAGTACTCTAGAATGTTCTCTCGGTGTTTCTATCCAGTATTTGTGAAGAACATTTCTACTGACAGTTGACCAAACTCAGGAGATTCAGTAAAGTAAGTTCAAATCACGTTCCAAACTCGGCCATGGGGATGGCAGGACAGGCGTGGGCATGTCTCCCTTGGATGTCAGTGTGTGCAAAGTATTTTGCTTGGCGTCAGTCCTTTTGACAACTGTTTCTGCAATTTTGCAAGATGTGTGTGTTGTGAGGGAGGGGGGCTTGTCACTTAAGTAGGAAAGACTCTGCAGGCATTGAGACTTCTGTGTTTTTAAGGAAACCCTGAATAGAAGTTGTGATTCTTCAGGCAGCCTGAACTCCAACTGCTCTGTGCTAGGTCAGGGCCGTCTAAGCTCTGCCACACTGGATTGTCCCAGTCAGCTTCTCAATGGGGAGCTCATACTGCAGATGTCTACCCAGCAGGTCTGTCTAGAAAGCCCCTTGCTTTTCTCACTGCCCTACCAGGATGGCTGCACCACTGGCTTCCTTGAAAGAGGTCCTAGAAAATAAGTAGGGAAGAGCTTCCTGCCCTCAGCACTGTGTTGGCTGAGTAGACACCTAGATGCAGGTCATCTGTGTGTTGAAGGTTGACCTCTGCCCACCCACGCCATCAGTACCTGCTCCAGGGGGGGCCACTATATTATCTGAAAACATGGTCAGTGTGACCTGTGGTCCCCAATCACCCCTGATGAGAGCCACTGAGGCTGAAGGACTCCTGAAGCACTAGCCAAGGCAGAGTACATGGTTAAGATTTCAATTCTGCCCCTTAGTATTATCAGGAAGAGTACATTCCCACATTAAAACTCAAGAGGGTTCAATGAAGGCTCTTAAGAATCTCCCCTATCGAGTCAGGCATGGAGGCACATATCTTTGCTCCAGAAAACTGAGAGGCGAAGGCAGATCTCTGTCTGAGTTGGAGATCAGTCTGCAAAGTGAGTTCCAAGACAGCTAACTACACAGAAAACTGTCTCGGAAAATCTCTTATCGAAGTAACCCTGCCATCCCATCACTTGGGAAGCAGACAAAGGAGAACTATAAGTTAAAGTTACCCTGGGTGACATAAAGAGACTGTCTCAAAAAATAAAAATAAACAGTCCCACTCCCATGAATCCATTCATTGCTCATGATGCAGGCTTTCTACCCCCCTGTTCATAAATCTCCCTTATGTCTGACCCCAGCTCAGCATCTGCCTCTGGCAGGTCCTGAACAGATTCAGTGATTAAGAAACTTGTACCAGCTGGGCAGTGGTGGCACACGCCTTTAGTACCAGCACTTGGGAGGCAGAAGCAGGCAGATCTCTGTGAGTTCAAGGGCAGCCTGGTGTACAGAGCAAGTGCCAGGACAGGCTCCAAAGCTACAGAGAAAGGAAAAGAAGCAAGCAAGGGAGGGAGGGAGGGAGGGAGGGAGGAAGGAAGAAATGTGTACTAGGGGGCTGGAGAGGTGGCTCAGCATTTAAGAGCACTGACTGCTCTTCCAGAGGACCTGGATTCATTTCCCAACATGCACATGGTAGCTCACAACTCCAGCTCCAAGGATACAATACCCTCACACAGATGTACATGCAGGCAAAAAACCAATGTGTGTAAAATAAA